GATGATGATGATGATGATTTTGATGATGATGATGATGATGACGATGATGATGATGATGATGATGATGATGATGATGATGATGATGATGTTGACGATGTTGATGATGATGATGATGATGGTGATGATGATGATGGTGATGGTGATGGTGGCGATGATGATGGTGCCCCGATGATGATGATCTTGATGATGATGATGTTGCTGATGATGATGGTGCCCCGATGATGATGATGTTGATGATCTTGATGATGTTGATGTTGGTCAGATGATTTGATGATGATGGTGATGATGATGATGATGATGGTGTCCCGATGATGATGATGATGATGATGATGAGGTCGATGATGCTGTTGATGATTATGGTGATGATGATGATGGTGTCCCGATGATGATGATGATAATGATGATGATGACGATAATGGTGTCCCGATGATGATGATGATGAGGATGATGATGAGGTGTTGATGCTGATTTTGAGGATGGTGGCCAAATGATGGTGATTATGATGCTGACATTGGTGATGATGATGGTGTCCCGATAATGTTGATGATGATGGTGTTCTGGTGATGATGATGTTGATGATGATGATGATGTTGCGAATGATGATGATGATGATGATGATGATGATGATGATGATGATGATGGTGTCCCGATGATGATGGTGTTGATGATGTTGTTCATGATCATGATGATGAGATGATGATGGTGATCATGATGGTGGTGTCCTGATGATGATGATGATGGTGTCCCGACGATGATGAGGTTGATGATGATGGTGATGATGTTGATGACGATGATGATGGTGTTCTGGTGATGATGATGTTGATGATGATGATGTTGCGAATGATGATGATGATGGTGTCCCTATGATGATGATGGTGTTGATGATGTTGTTGATGATGTTGTTCATGATCATGATGATGAGATGGTGAGGATGATGATCATGATGGTGGTGTCCGATGGTGATGATGATGGTGTCCCGACGATGATGAGGTTGATGATGAAGATGATGGTGACGTTGATGGTGTCCCGATGCTGATGACGATGGTGATGATGATGATGATGATGATGATGTGGATGATGATGGTGATGAGCTGATGATGATGATGATGATGGAGTCCCGATGATGTTGATGATGATGATGATGACGTTGATGACGATGATGTTGATGATGATGACGTTGATTGTGATGTCGACTGTGATATCGATAGTGAGATCGATAGTTCGACCGAATGGGAGATCGATTGTGAGATCGATAGTGAGACCGATCGTGAGATCGATTGTGAGATCGATAGTCAGATCGATTGTGAGATCGATCGAATGAAATAGATCGAGTGAGATCGATTGTGAGGTCAATCGAGTGAGATCGATCAAGTGAGACCGACAGTGAGATCGATAGTGAGATCGATAGTGGGACCGATCGAGTGAGACGTTGGTTTCTTCCCACCGAACCTCCTTATCACCCGAAGGGTGGTCGTATGTACATATATATACATACATATATGTATAGATATACACATACATACATACATACATACATACATACATACATACATACATACATACATACATACATACATACATACATACATACATACATACATACATACATATATATGTATATATATATATATATATATATATATATATATATCCCTGGGGGGCAGGCCCGGGGCCCACGAACAGCTGCCTCGACCCCCCATGGCGGGACGGGGGGGGGCCTGGAGCCTCCCTGGAGCAGCCCAGGCGGCCCAAGAGTGCCCCAAGAGCGCTCCACGACAGGCCCAGCAGGCTCCAAGAGGCCCAAGAGGGCGCCAAGAGGGCCCCAAGATGCCCAATATAAGCCCAAGACGGCCAAAGAGGCCCCCAAGACGCTCCAAGAGGCCTCCAAGAGGCCCCCTTCAGAGGGCCCCAGGAGGCCAAAATCGTTCATTTCACGAAGGTTTTGGACACATTTTGCCTTGCCCGCCTTTTCAGCTCTCCGACGCTCCACGACGGCTCACAGGCCCCCCGCGGACGCCCCAAGACAGCCCGAGGGGCTTTCAAGAGGGCCTCAAGACGGCTTTGGAGGGCCCCAACGCGGCCCCAGACGCGCCCAAGACGGGCGAAGTGAGGCCCAAGACAGCACCAAGAGGGCCCCAAGAGGGGAACCGCGAACCGCAAATTCGAGCCTCCCGCCTCCACAGGGCCCCGGGAGGCCCCAAAGGGGCCCGAAGAGGCCCCAGGAGACCCCCAAGATAAGCCCAGGAGGCCCAAAGGAGGCTTCAAGAGGCTCCCAAACAGCCCCGAGGAACCTCACAACGGACGGCGCGGACGAGCCGCACTTCGGACAGCCGCCGCCGTCGGTCCAAGAAAACGGCCTCCTGGACGCCATGCGCGCCGTGGCCCTCCTGCGGTGGCACCTCCCGCCCCGGGCCAGCGCAGAGGCTTTCGGATCCCAGAGAGAATTCTCCGTCGTCGGCGGTGTCGCCGTCGTCGGCGTCGTCGTCGTCGACGCCGTCCGCGCCCCGGTCGCCCCTCGGGACCGCGCTCGCCCCTTGGACTTCTCGGCTCGCCTCCCGCCGATGTTCTTGTCGCCTTGCCAAGCGCCTTCTTACTTCAAGAGTGGAGACGCTTTTGCTGTGTTTTGTTCTTCGGCCCAATCAACTCCATCGGCCGTCCTACTTAATTAGTGTTTTTACCTACTTCTTCCCACCGACGTGCACCTCTCCTGTCCTCCTGATCCTCCTCATCCTCGCGGGGCGGGACCCTCGACCACAGGGCCCCCGCTGTTGCCACGGTGCGGTCTGCACATGTCTGCACTGCGGCAGCGGCGTGGGCCCCCGGCCGAGGGTTTTCCGGAAGGGCCGAGGTGGGCTCTCGCCCACGGCAGCCCTCCTTGCTTGGACGAGGGTGGTGCTGGCCGCCGGCACCCCCTCGTCCCCCAGGGCTCCGCCCAGCACCCGCTGCCCGCGCCAGAATCAGGGAGCGGGTCCCAGCGGTGCGCCGCCTCCACCTTCTCCGCCTGCACGGCCGCTCTGGCCCACAAGCCCCTCCTGCCTCCGGCCCTCGTGCGGCCCGCTCCCTCCCCGCCTCCTCCCGAGCCCTCGCTCCCTTCGCCCGCCCATCCATCAGGTCTTCGACCGCGGCCCCTCGCCTCGCCAGAAGAAAGAGCATACACCTTGTTCATCTCTAGTTCTTCGAAAGTTCGTTGGCTTCCAGGGGGGGCCACGATCCTTGCATCTCTGAGTGTTTTATCCTGGGCCTCTTCCTGGCCCTTAGGGGGCCAGGAACACTTGTAAACGAGCACGATTAGAAATGAACGACGTGTACACATCAGTGTTCACAGGTCCGCGGGGATTTCTTCCATCTGCGCTGGACCCCCACGGGCGGCGCCTCTGGGAGCCGCCCCCTGGCGGCGCCTCTGGCGCCGCCCTGGAGCGGGCTGCAGCTCAGATCCAAGGAATCCGAGACGTGCGGAGGTGCACGTACGTCTATGCAGGTGCGTCTTATCTTGGCGTCGCTCGGACATTTTTTTTTGGGGTGGGGGCCAGATTGCTTTGATGTTTGATTTGATTTGATTTGGATTTGGGGGGAGCAAGATTATTTCATTTCCAATTATTCTATCCTGGGCCTCTTCTTGGCCCTTCGGGGCCAGGAACAATTCATAGTATATGTATGTATGTATGTATGTATGTATGTATGTATGTATGTATGTATGTATGTATGTATGCATGTATATATGTATGTATATATGCATGTATGTATGATTGTATGTATGTATGTATGCATGCATGCATGCATGTATGTATATATGTATATATGTATGCATGTATGTATGTATGTATGTATGTATGTATGTATGCATGCATGCATGCATGCATGCATGTATGTATGCATGTATGTATGTATGTATGTATGTATGTATGTATGTATGCATGCATGCATGCATGCATGCATGCATGCATGTATGTATGTATATGTATTATATATATATTATATATATATATATATATATATATAATATATATATATATATATATATATATATATATATCCCGGTGCACGACGCCCGGGCGCCCGGGGCCGCTGCCCCGACAGGGCATGGGAGTACCGGGGCTAATTTCCTTGTTGTTTTTACAAGGTTTCCGCGTCCTGGGCCTTGGAGGCCGCCGCCTCCGACCCCCCGTGGGAGGACGGGGCGTCCGGGGAGGTCCAAAACAGTCCACGAGGGCCGCCAGAGGCTCCCAAGACGGCCCAAGCGGGCCCCGAGTCGCCGAAAGACCGCTCCAGGACGCCCAAGATATGCCCAAGACGGCCCGAGAGGCCCCCCAAGGCACTCCACGACGCTTCCAGACGCCTCTCCAGAGCGCTTCAAGATGCCGCAATTTCGCCGAAATCGTCAATTTTACATAGGTTTTCGAACGATTTTGGCCTTCCAGCCTGTTCGGTTGTCCGACGTTCCAAGACGGCTCAATAGGCCCTCAAGAGCACCCCGAGACGGCCTGAGAGGGCCCCAAGACGGCCCCAGAGTCGCCCAAGACAGCCCAACAGAGCCCCAAGACGGCCCCAAGATGCGCCCAAGAGGAGGACCACGACTCCAAAATTCGACCCTCCCGCTTGAAGAGTGCCCCAGGAGGCCCCAAGGAGCCCCCAAGAGGCCCCAGGAGGCCCCCAAGAGGCACCCAGGAGGTCCAAACGAGGCCAAGAGAGGCCACAAAACAGCCCCGAGGAGACGCCACAACGGTCCCAAAACGGCTACCCAGAAGATGCGAAACTGCCTTCCTTCACGACGTCCCCGACAGGCCAACCACGAGATCCAAACCAACACCCATTAGGCCTCTGACCCACCACCCAGGGCACTGTGGCGGGAGCGGTGACAGCACTTGTGCACAGCATGTTCCGGCGGGAGCCTTCCAGAACACGCTGCAGGAGGAGGAGGAGGAGGAGGAGGAAGATCAGGAGGAGAGAGGGTTGGAGTGGGAGGAGGAGGGGGGGGACGAGGAGGAGGAAGAGGCCTCCAAGACAGCTCCAAGATAGCCGAAGGGGCTTCCGTAGCCATTTTGGTTCAAGCCGATTTGGCTCGGGCTGTTTCAAAGCGAGCGCGTGGGAATATTTGGAACCAGCAGCCTGCGAGGGATGGCTCCTGTCATCTGCTCGGCAGAGCGGGTCGGGCTCTGGGCTGCGGCGAATGCCAGCCCGACAGAGGTCACCCTCTTCCTCTCGAACTTGCCGACGGAGTGCACCAAGAGTGCGATGATGAAGTGGATGGACACCCAGGACTGTATGGAGGGGTGCGATTACCTGTTCGTCCCTCGGAATTTCCAGAGTCGCGCGTGCCTCGGGTATGCGTTCGCCAATTTCGTCCACCCCACGTTCGCCAAGAGGCTCATGGCATTGGCTCGCGGCACCTCCATGAAAGTGACGGTCTCAACGGATCAGGGCCTCGCAGCGAATCTCGCAAAGTGGGCCACCGGCCGGGTGCATCACATCCGCGACCCTGAGAACTTGCCGTTCGTCCGAGCGCTCGAGGCGATGAGCGTGAAACACCCAGTGATGGCCGCATTCAAGAACCACGGGCCGGCGATCGAGGAGGTGCCCGCGTCGCGCTTCGCGGAAAAGCCGGCGGCGGCTGGGCGGCCTTCGGGCAGTCATCTGAAGGTCGATCGTTTGATCGAGACGTGCTTCAGCCTCCACAAGGGTTCGCCCTTGCTGCACATCTCCCTGTGAGCTTCGGCAGTCTGCTGTTCCGTCAGCGCGTCAATGATTTGAGCGCCCGTCTCCAAGAGACAGGGCGTCTATCCCACAGCGCTCCTATCCGACATCTTCTGCATCGCTTATATCCTACAGCGCTTCTATCCTATTGTCCCTCTCCGGGAGGAGGAGGTGGAGGAGGTGGAGGAGGTGGAGGTGGAGGAGGTGGAGGAGGCGGTGGGAGGGCTGCCGTCGGTGGTGGCAGGGTTTGGTTTTCCCACAGCCATGCGAGCTCAATGAGCTGTCCATCGTTGCTGTGGCCACGAGGGCACAGGCGTGTCCTTCCTCCTCCTCCTCCTCTTTCCCTTTGTCTTGCTCCATCCCGGCCCACCAGCTAGGAGAGTCGCCGCGCCAGAGGACGCGGATGGATGTGTATGTCTTCTCCTCGGAGCGGAACTCAGCGATGGGTTCAATCCCTTGCTCGGCATGTTGCAAGGCATCTGCGCAAAGCTAGGTGTGTCCGCATCCGCGGTTGGTTGCCACCCATTCTCTGATCTCCAGTGCTTTTGGAGACTGCCCCCCGGCAGGGGCCCGCGGGGGCAGACCCACGTTTCATTGACGACATCATCATCGATTTCCTCAGCATCGTCAGCCTGTTCATATCGATGTGTATTGCCTCACATGCGAGAGAGGCGTCCGCTGTAGAACAAGGAGACCCCGTCTGCAGGGAGAGGAGATCGACCTGGAGGCGAGCAGGAAGCCTGGTCAGTTGGCGCAATCGCACGCCGGTCAGATTTTCAGGTGCCTCGCACGGCGTGTCTCCAGACAAGCCAGGTTCCCTATAGCATGGCCTCACCCACCCAGTCTGCGCTGGGCCCGGACACCGTCCGCAACGGTGGTCGCATCGCATCGCATCCCGCGGCAGACTGCTTTACCTCTTCCAGCCCCGCGGTGCCCGCAACGGCGGCGCCCTCTTGGCCGGCGGGGCTCTGGCCCCTGGGCCGCCGAGAGGCGCGGGCTCTCGGGCTAGCGTTGCTGTCCTTCGGCCATTGTGTCTCGGCCTTGTTGCCTTCCTGCTGCTGCTTGGCTTGACCTAAGTAGCCCAGAGACGAGGTCTCGGGAAGGCCCCAGCAGCTACTTCGCGTCACGGCCCGTCACGGCGGCGTGTATGCGATTGGCATCCCATGCTGGCGCGGGCGTCCCCACTCAGCCTAGAATGCGTTGGGGGGCGTGGGCCGAGTTTGAGGACGAGGATGGTGTGGAGAGAGGTTCTTAACAGCAGCGCTCAGCTTTCCACGCCACTGCCGCTGGCACAGCTGTCTGCGGAGTGCCCAGCGCGGCGACCTCGCAGAGGCCGCAAGCATGGGCGTGTTCTTTGAATTTTCACGCGTGCGAGCGTTTGAAGAGATGTGGAGGCTTGTTCGTGAAAAGGTTCGGAGAAACAGTGAGGATGTGGAGAAGGGAGCACGATCCGAACATAGCCGACATCCCGCAGAGTGGAGCTCGCTGCTTATCCGTCCAGTTAATTCGACAAGCCAGCTCACGCGTCTGACAGTTACCCGTCGTTGCGTCCATTCGTCAGGATCGTCAACAAAAAAAAAGATAGCCGAAGAGGCTTCCAAGAGGGCCCTGGGCGGCCCACGAGGGCCCCAAGGCGGCGCCTGAGGCGCCCAAGAAGGACCGAGAGGGCCCCAAGACGGCCCCAAGAGAGGCCCAAGAAGGGAAACACCTGCCCCCTCCTCGAGTGTGAACGCCGCTGAATCTTTCCGAAACCGTTGCCTGCTGCAGTTGCAGCACTGTTCAATCATTCGATCTTGCTGCATGAGCGTTGCGCGACCGCGACGCACCATCTCCGTGCGAAGTAGTGTGCGTGCGCGGCCGGTCCATCCGTGCTCTGAGGCTGGACCTTGGCCTCGAGGCGGACAGGATCAAAATCATCACCGTTCTCCCTCTCCCTTCATCCTGCCCCCTCCTCAAGTGTGAACGCTGCTGTATCTTTCAGAAACCGTTGCCTGCTGCAGTTGCAGCACTGTTCAATCATTCGATCTTGCTGCATGAGCGTTGCGCGACCGCGACGCACCATCTCCGTGCGAAGTAGTGTGCGTGCGCGGCCGGTCCATCCGTGCTTTGAGGCTGGACCTTGGCCTCGAGGCGGACAGGATCAATATCAAAAAACAGAAATCATCTTCAAATCCTTCCCCGAGGGCATCAAGACGGCCCGAGACAGCCCCCAAAGGCTCCACAGAAGATCACCGAAGCGCCTCCGCTGTCCCCCAGGAGGCTGCGATGAGGCGCCTGGAGGCCCCCAAGAGCGCCCGCAGACGCTCGCAGGCGGCCCAAGAGCCCCCCGCAAAGCGCCCATGTGGCCCACGCCGAGAGCCCCCGCAGACCTGGGGTAGGCGCTGCCGGGCCGCCTGTGAGGGCCCAGGTCAGGAGGGGAAAGCACACACAGACAGAACTCATCGTCGACTCCGAGTCGACGATGAGGCCTCTGACCCACCACCCAGGGCACTGTGGCGGGAGCAGTGACAGCACTTGTGCACAGCATGTTCCGGCGGGAGCCTTCCGGAACACGCTGCAGGAGGAGGAGGAAGATCAGGAGGAGAGAGAGCTGGAGTGGGAGGAGGAGGAGGGGGACGAGGAGGAGGAAGAGGCCTCCAAGACAGCTCCAAGATAGCCGAAGAGGCTTCCAAGAGGGCCCTGGGCGGCCCACGAGGGCCCCAAGGCGGTGCCTGAGGCGCCCAAGAAGGCCCGAGAGGGCCCCAAGACGGCCCCAAGAGAGGCCCAAGAAGGGAAACACGAACTGAGAATCCGAGCTTTCTACCCCGAGAGGTTCTCGGGAAGTCCCAAGAGGCCACCAATCGGATCCAAGAGGCCCCCAAGAAGCTCCCAAGAGGGCCGACGAGGTCCCAAGAGATCTCCCAATGTGGCCCAAACAGGCACAACTCATTGTTTTACGATTGGGCCTTGACGGGTTTTAATTTTTGGCCTTTTGGCATCCCGATGCTCCAAGACGGCCCAAGAGGCTTCCAATACCGCTCCAATATAGAGGAAGGCCTCCAAGAGGGCCCCAAGACGGCCCGCGAGGACCCCAAGACGGTGCTTGAGGCGCCCAAGACGGCCCGAGAGGGCCCCAAGAGCCCCAAGAGAGGCCCAAGAAGGGGAACGCGACCCAACAGCAGAGCGTTACCCCCAAAAGGCCCACAGGAGGCCGCAAGAGGACCCCAAAAGCTTCCCGAGGGCCCAAAACAAAAGGCCCCTAGGAGACGTCCAAGAGGTTTTCAAATAGCCCAAGAGTGCCCTCGATGCGTCAAAACTGCTTCCAGGAGGCCCGCGGGAGGCTTCCGGATTGCCTCAATCTGGCAGCAGGTGGCCTCAAGTCGGGCCTCCACGCAGCCAAGACGGCCAATGACGGCTTCAGATTGCAGAACCGATGCCCCCAAGGTACCCTCAGACGCCCCCCAAGGGGCATCCAAGAGGTGCCTCCAACAGCCAGTTGACGAAGCATGCGGAACACCCCAGAAGCTCCTCAGATGCCGTCGCGCGCCTGTGCTTGATAGCGTTGTCCAAGGTCGTCCAGCGCCCCGGCCTGGGCTAGAACCTGAGCGCGCGCGAAGCGCGCGCGATGGTTCTAGTATATATATATATATATATATATATACACACACACACACCGGGGAACGGGACCTGGGGCCGCCAGATTGGGACCTCGGACCCCCATGGGGGCCACGGGGCTCCAGGACGCTCCCGGGGGCCCGAACCTCGACCACAAATGTGAAGCCCGGGGCCCGGGCCGCCTCTGAGAGGGCTGAAATCGCCGTCGGAAGCCCTCAGACAGCCGTCCCGGCAGCCCTGGACGTTCTCGAGAAGCTCCCAAGACGCTTCAAGATACCGCCCTAGAGCGGCGGGAGAGGCCAAAATCGTTGATTCTAATTGGTTCTTTCTATATTTGTGGCTTTCTCCCTGTTTCGGCTTTCCGACGCTCCACGACCGCCCCAGAGGCTCCCAAGACCGTGCCAAGAAGGCCCCAGAGGCTCCCAAGAGAGCCCCCAGACGGCCCCAGGGAGTCCGAAAATTGCCCCAGAGAAGCCCCAGACGGCCCAAGAGAGCCCCGGGACAGGACCAAGCTGGGCCCCAGAGCGGGAGCGGGAGGCCCCAAGGCGCTCCAGGACGGCCCTGACGGCCCCAACGTGGCCCCAGATGGGTCCAACACGGCCAATACACAGCCCAAAAGCCCTCCAAGGAGGGCCATCGATCAGACAAGGGGGGATGCCCCAATCGGGGTCTGACAAATCTCTTCTTGGGCCGCTTTTAGGCCTTTCTTGAGGCGGTCTTTTCTGCTCTCGGAGCTGTATTTCGCCCCTGCTGGGTCCCTTTGGGGGCCGATTTGGGCCCATCTTGGAGCCGCCTTCTGGCCTTCAGAAACGATCAGAATCGACACTGGGAGGAGACAAACATCAGAATATCTCGAACGCTTCGGAAGGAGTTTGATTTCTTGAAGGTTTCCCTGGGGTGCTGGGATGGCACTGCGGGCCGTCTGGGGGCGGTATTGAAGGCTTTTGGGGGGCGTGTTGGAGAAATCTTGAAACCAGTTTGGCACACTTTAAACGATCTTTGAGGCCCATCTTTGGGCTCGTGGGGGCCTTCTTGGAACCTTCTGATACCATCCTTGACGCTCGACCGGCCCGCCTAACGCCCTCGTCCAGGGGGAGGGTGTAGCGGTAGGGAGTAGGTAGGGGAAGGTCTCCGCCCCGAAAGGGACGAGGGGGTTCGCAGAACGAGGTCCTTTGACGTCTCACGCCCGCGAGGGCCGTTGGGACTCTTCTTTGTCATACCTCCTCGTCCGGTTGACTCGGCGGGTCCCACCTCGGTCTCATTCTCCGTCGTCTCGGGCGTTTTCCATATTGCTTCTGGTGTTGGTGATGCCGCCGCTGATGTTGCTCGGGGCCTTCGGTTCCCTGGTTGTCTAAAGCAGACTGCCACTCACATAAGCATCATGCCACCCTGCTGTCCAGCAGCACAATCCGGCATTCAGACGTTGCCCGGGTCTTGTGTGTATATATATATATATATATACACATATCCCTGTGGGCGAGGCCGGGGGCCCCAGGACAGGTGCCCCGACCCCCCATGGCGGGACGGGGGGGTCCTGGAGCCTCCCTGGAGCAGCCCAGGCGGCCCAAGAGT